GAGAAGACCAAGAAGGATAAAATCCTCACACCAGCAACTAGTGAGAGAAGGCTGAAACTGCAACTAAGACAGATCATAACAAGAGCAAAGATCCAAGAGAGGCCACCTTCTATAACGAAAGCAGATATCTCTTATGATTGCAATGAATAAAAATTTCCCACACACTTTATTGATAGAAGTTTTGTGTTTTATTCAGAGTAATTGAGAGTGTAATTTAGAAACTTGTAAATGATAAAACTAAGTCTATGCTATTATTATAATATACAACTATATAATTTAAGCTTAGAATGAGTAAAAATTTCCCACACACTTTATTGATAGAAGTTTTGTGTTTTATTGAGAGTAATTGAGAGTGTAATTTAGAAACCTGTAAATGATAAAACTAAGTCTATGCTATTATTATAATGTACCGCTATATAATTTAAGCTTAGAATCAGCTCTAAAAACAAAATTAGTAACAGAATATTTTCCATAATTTTAGGCTAGACATGCTCTGTTTTGATTTGAGCAGACTCTGTTTTGATTTGAGCAGAATTAACACATGCTTTCTTTACACATTCCTGTAAGATTGAGCTTCTATCAGTAAGACTAATCTTGTTACAAAGTAATGTTGTGCGTTGTTTGGATAACAGTTTGGTTAACATATTAGCCAGTTGGCTATTAGTATAAACATGTTTTACTTGAAAACTTCCTTTCTACACTAGGTCACGCACAAAATAAAGCTCAATTTGAATGTGCTTGATGAGCAAGTGATTGACCGAGTTGAAGCGGAGATATGTAGCCCTAAGATTGTCACAGAGAAGATGGGGGGATTCTGGCACTAGGAATGCAAGGTCCTTTAAAAGCATGGACAACCACATTGTCTCTAAGGAAGCAGTTGCAAGTGCCCTATATTCTGCCTTTGTTGTGGATCGGGCAATTGCTCTTTGTTTCCTAGAGCTCCAAGAAATGGGATTGGAGCCTAGAAAACTAATATATACAAAGGTGGACATATAATCATCAACATTGTTAGCCCAATCGGTATCTGAGTATGTCCTTTACACTGGATGGCTAGATTTTTGAATCTGAATTCCATGAAAAATTGTCTATTTTAAGTAGCGAAGAAGGCATTTGATGACTGCCATGTGATTGGTGTTGTAACCCAATTTTGGATTCACTAAAAGTTTTTGAATGTTATTTTATCTTATTATTCATGACAAAATATAATAAATAAATAAAAAAGAGAAGAAAAAAAAGAAAAAAAAAAGAGTTTACAATATATTTTCTCGAGTCAACCGCATCTTTCTACCAAAATTGAATCCACCAGGTCAATACGGGTTAAACGATGTCGACCGGGATGAAAAATGAGTTTCGGGTCGTTTCAGGTCAAAACCATCATTTTCTGTCAAAACCGAGTCCACCGGGTTAATACGGGTCCCACTATGTTGACCGCGATAAAAAATGAGTTTCGGGTCTAAACCGTCATTTTCGATCAAAACCGAGTCCACCGGGTTAATACGGGTCCCACTATGTTGACCGCGATAAAAAATGAGTTTCGGGTCTAAACCGTCATTTCCGGTCAAAACCGAGTCCACTGGGTCAATACGGGTTCCCCCATGTCGATTGTGATGAAAAATGAGTTTCAGGCCGTTTCGGGTCAAAACCGTTATTTTCAGTCTAAACCGAGTCCACCGGGTCAATACGGGTCCCAAAATGTAGACCGGGATGAAAAATGAGTTTCGGGCTGTTACGGGTCAAAACTGTCATTTTCAATCAAAACCGAGTCCATCGGGTTAATACGGGTCCCACCATGTCGACCGCAATAAAAAAATGAGTTTCAAACTATGTTTGGTCAAAACTGGTATTTTTGGTCAAAAAACACGGTCCACCGAGGTTGATACCCGTATAAAGATTTTTTTTGTAATTTAAATTGATTTTTAGTCGATGAAAAGCTTTTTAGAATACTGATTTGAATTTTTAATTTTACCCCTGTAAATAAATATTATTATTATATATAAACAAAAAATAATAATTCAATGATAGACGGTGCACCTGTCCCGTGATTATATTTAGAATCTCGTGATTACATTTACAAAAACTCGTGATTTGTTGTCCCCTTTAGCTATAAATAGCCAATGAAAGCAAGACACAAGGGGAGGAAAAGATAAAGAAACCAAAAGATAAAGAAACCATTCGGAATTTGAATTCTGAATTCGCACATTGTGTTACTATTTGGTACTATTTCTTTTTTCTATACTTTTTCTATACCCTAGTAAGATATTAAATTTTTTCAAAACAAATTGAAAAACACCAAAAATATCCCAACCGTTAGATCTAATAGTGTTTAAATCTGACCCTTTAATTTCTTAGGATACAATAGGCTGTACCACACCACATTAAAACCCAAATCAATCTCAGCCTTTAAAATAATCTGTCATTTGATCCTGTTGCGCCACGTCAGCAGGTGTACCAAACACTCGGTACGCCGCGATACACCAGATCGTAGCCCAGTCAATCCTGACCATCCGATCAACTTAAAGATTCAACCAATCATAGCCGCACGATCTGTTCATCCGAGATCCAACGGCTCACAGGTTTCAGACGCACGAGTGCACTATACACTCGTCCGCACCGCAGCAGAACCTAGAGCTTCTCTCTTCTCTCGCTGGTGATTCTCTCTCTCCGTCGATCTCCTGTTTCAAGCCGCGAAACCACCACAGAAACGTGAATTGCCTCCTCTGAAGCAAACCCCCGGCCGTGTTACACTTTTTCCCCGGCGAGTTGGGCCGGAAAAAGGCTGCGCCCGTCATCGGCCAATCGACCTTCAAGTCATCGATTCTCCCTCCTCAATCATCAACGGCCAACGAGACCACCACCATCAGAATCCTCGTCCTCAGATCTACCAGAATCAACCATCGTTTCGCCAGAATCTCACCGAAAAAATTCACCGTCGTCAACAGTAACCGCGCGTGAGCCACACGCGCCACCAGTGGCATTTTCATAAATTTTCTATAAATCTGAGGGTATTTCAGTCTTTTGCCTATACAGGGGTGCTCAGGTAATTTTTTATGATATTTTATTGTATTTTTTGATATTTTTATATATAAATTCTTGTAAATTTTTGCATGTGAAAAAAACAAAAATAAAC